GAAATACTCTCAGCTTCATATTTTAAATTTGCTCGGTAATCCTATGCCCTGGCAGCTGCTTCAAAATGCACTGCCTCGCTAGCTTCCCTAGCACTGCCTCTAGCGCTTCCCTCTCTTCTCAAGAAGTCGGGGCACCGTGTAAGCCTGAGTAATAGAAAAATGTGTGGGAAAATGCCAATCAATTTCTTTTTTTTCTCTTTCCAAACAGGAGTAACAAACCGATGCCATATTTCAGAATGAAACAGCATTTTCCAGTGGTGGGCTTAGTCCTTTTCCTTAGAACTGAAATGGCAAAGCTGGGATTTTTTGCCTTGATCTTTTTGCATCCCCCTAAATTTGGAAACTGTTTTAAACCCCAAAGATTCCTCCTGGGCAAAAGAAAAAAAGAACAATTCTGGTCTCAAACAGCTGCTCCCAAGTGTGTGTGGAGCCTGTGCCAAGCACATCTCGGTGCCCCTCCCGGCTCCATCCGCTTGCCCCTGTCCTCCCCGTGCTCCCCGCTGCCTGGCCAGAGCCGTGGCCTGAAGGAATGGAGTTTGGGGGGGAAATGCCATCAAATCCCAGCAGGAACCATCTCGCCCCGAGCCTGCCAGATCCCTGGATTTACAAGGAAAAATCCCAAGAACAGGAGTTTTTTTCTCCCCAAAGCCACACCAGCCAGACGCAGCCAGAGTCGCGGTTTTCATGCCCTTTCGGAGGTTTTTGGTGACACAACAAAAACAGGGAAGGTGGCCCCTCTTGCCTGACACTGGTGCATTAAGTGGGGCGGGTCCCAGCTGCTCCCCCTGAATTTATTTCGGGAGGAGGCAGAAAAGCCTTCGGCTCCCTGGAGGTGAGTAGGGGCTGGGTAAAGCCTCTCGGCGTTCCCCGCTGGAGCAAAGCCCGGCGTCCCTGGAAGCTGGGACCCACCCAGCACCTCAGGCTGATGACCTCTACCAAGGTCAGTCAATTTTTAGGGCCAGATAGTTCTAAATTGGCTTCCTGGAGGACAGCTGGGACTCAGCCGTGGTGATAAGACATCCCCAACAATCTCCTGGAGGGACTTTTGGACTCCAGCGGGATCCGGAGCATCCACAAGAGACTTTGCTTTCTGATGGGGATGAGAGGATCTGGACAAGCTAATTCTGCACTCTTTGCATGCTCCCAGCCGTGAAAAGCTTAAAAAGCTTATTAAACCGTTAGATCACGGAAAGCCTTAAGAATAATAACCCCATAAATCCAAACACGGTCAATCCTGACATCCTCCCCCATCCCACAGGGCTGGGGACAAACCACGAACACACCCCCAGCAAACACCCTTGGACCTCCCCTCCCTGGTCACACAAGTGACCGTGAGCAGTCAGGCTAGGACACACGGGCAAATGCTCCCCCAAACGGTCCTGGTTTTGCCACTTTTCAGAAAAATCAAGCAAATCTCAGCTCCAAAGCCCGTCTGGGTATTTTAGCGGTATTTCTCCCCATTGCAGTCTCACCAATTCTTTCTCCAAAGCAAAGAAAACATCTGAGCAACCTCCGAAGGGGGAAGAATTTCAGACAAATTGTCTGTCACGCCGCCACCTGCTAGTACCAGTGGTCTCACGCTCGTGCCCGTGTTGCCACTACCCCACCCAGGGCGTCACGGGTGGGGGGACACCCAGGGCAGTTCCTTACCTCGGGGCTGTGCAGGAGGGAGGTGATGCTTGGCCTCCGGAGAGCCGCACACTGCCGGGGGCCGGCTGCGGAGGGGGAGTATTAAATCGCAGGCTGCTTGCAAGTGGTCGGTAAAAATAGCACAAATCCCCTTTTGTGTGCACACGTTTGGTGCGAGCCCCGTGATGTGTTGCACACACCTGGGGCGCCGGCTCGAACACGAGGTGACACGGACACCTCGCCTGTGCGTGTTAGCGCTTTTGTGTTTTACTGCACCCATGACCTCCCCGTGCAATTTGGTGAATTCCTGTGCTTTTCGCATGTGAATCACCCCAGCTTGGCCACCACTCGCTGCCTGACGCCTTACTCACACACGTGTGCGCCCGCAGACGTGCCGGGTCAGGCTGACCGTGGTGCAAAGGCAATGCCGGTGCGTGCAGATGGGGTATATTCTTCACGGTACACCTCCCTTCCTCCTCTCTGATGTAAACCAGCGTCAGAGATGCTGGAAAAACCCTGAGTCTGCAAGGAAGTAGAAACCATGAGCCAAAACACTGCGGTACTTTTTTCTTTACAGAAAATCTGATTTTTTTTTTCTTTCTTTTATTTCCTTTCTTTTTTTCTTTCAAAAAGTCTCTGAAGGGGGGGCGGGGGCGTGAGCAGCCTGGAGAGCTGATGTGGTGCTGAGCCCCCTACACAATGGTGCACACAGGCTCTGCAATACTGCGCACACGGGGTGATGTCCCCACGGGGGTGCTGGCCGAGGGACTTCCCTGGGCTCATCAGAGCCGCCAGAGCAGGAGGGCAAAACCATCCCGACGCAGGACAGGGCACATTGCTGAGGGATGACGGACTAAAACAGCGAAAGTAGGGTTACAGCATCAGGCCAGATGATCGGTTGGGACCAAGGATGGGGCAGTCCCCTCTTTGGGGACTCCAGGACCATCCAGACTCGCCCAGCACAGCACAGCGGGTTGGGATGCTCAAGCAAATTTCAGCCCCTCACAAGTCCTGATGTTTTTCCAAGGAAATTCCTGCAAAGCAGCAAAAAAGCTGCTGTCTCACCCCCCTGCACCCCGCAAAGCCCCTTGCCTGGTGTCCCCACGGAAGGAGGCTTCATGTGGCAGAGGACCGCAGGGGCAGGCAGCACCTGTTCCCTGGGCTATTTTTAGGGCCAAGTTTAGGAGCAAACAATTCCCAGCGTGCAGCCCAGCAGGGACAATGCCCGGTATTTTAATCCGGAGGCTATTATGGTCGCAGAGGAACACACAGCTGCATGTGTGGGGTATCTCCCATGGTGGGGAGCAAAGACAGCCCCCCGTGTTCTACAGAGCAGGGGATGCACGGCCGCCTTCCCCGGCTCCTGCCCCCCTGCCTGGACACCAAGGCGGGGAGCTGTGCCCTGGTGGGGGGCGACGCAGCAGCCCCCAAACTGGTGCGAGGTCGGTGACGGTGACAGCAGCGATGGCAGCGGCAATGCCATCCTTGTTTGACCTGCACTAGTCAAATCCCAGCAAGCACAGGAGAAACCCCCTCCTGCACCCACCCTCCTTGGGAGCCCCTCCAAGGACGTTTCCCCTTCCCCAGCTCCAAGTGCCAGCGCAGCGGATCTGCTCCCAGCCGCCGAGGAGGAGGCTTTATACCAGTCCCGTTAGATCTTTATAAGGCAAAAGCCCCCGTGGGGCCATGCCTCCAGCATCTTTCCTCCCAGCTGCCTTGGGATTGTTTTCCGAGCATAGAGGAGCCAAAATTAGCCGGTGACAAAGGCGCTGCATTCCCCGCAGCCGTGCCCCGGGACCCAACCAGTTCCCGCTGCCCTGGGGATTGGGGCTGCTTCGGATGCCATTTGCTCCACTCTCAGGTTTCATCCTCTGCTGGGACCAGGAGGGAGGAGGAGGAAAGGGCAGGTGAGGGATGGGGTAGTGGG